ACCTGGAGAAGGTATCAGAGGTAAAAGACACAGTACGCCGGCAGTCCCTGCTATACCATCTCTGCTCCCTGGTGATCCAGACACGGCCTGATTCCTCCGACCTCTACTCAGAAATCCCTGCCCTGACCCGCTGTGCCAAGGTTAGCATCAGCCAGAGATTCCAAGACTAGCCAGGGCTTGAGGGAGCACAGCTCCCTGGGCTGGCTCCTCCTCTTCTCATTTGCTGATGTGCCAGGGCTTGCTCAGGCTACAGGTGTGTCAATTGTATTCCCTGCCACAAATGTTTTTTTTCTTGGCATAGCCATGCCTACAGTCTTGGGGTCTGTTTAGCTGCCATTTCCTCCAAGACGCCTTCTCTGTTCACAAGTGGATCCAATGGATTTGTATGTTTCTTATGTCAAACTGTGAGCTTTTTGTTGAGATGTGAGTCTCAGTATGTTGCTCAGGTGTCACTCTTGCCTCAGCCTCCCTCCCAGCCTATGAGCTTTTGAAAAGCATAGACTGAACCTCAGCTGTCTCTAGGGCCCAGGCTGGTCAGCTCCATACAAGCTATCTTGACGCCAGGCAGTGTCTCATCTATGGGGGGACAGCATATATACCTACTTTCTTTTCCAGGTGGATTTTGAGCAACTGACAGAGAACCTGGGGCAGCTGGAGCGCCGGAGCAAGGCAGCTGAGGAGAGTCTACGGAGCTTGGCTAAACACGAACTAGCCCCAGCTCTACGTGCCCGCCTCACCCATTTCCTGGCCCAGTGTGCCCGCCGTGTTGCCATGCTGAGGGTTGTGCACCGCCGAGTCTGTAACAGGTAAGGCATGGGCCCAGGGAGAGAGGACGGCTGCCGCCATCTCTCAGACACCAAGCAGGATTCATGGTCACCTCAACTCACCTAGGTTCCATGCCTTCCTGCTCTACTTGGGCTACACTGCACAGGCAGCTCGGGAAGTGCGCATCATGCAGTTCTGCCACACTCTGCGAGAGTTTGCACTTGAGTATCGGACTTGCCGAGAACGGGTTCTACAGCAGCAGCAGAAGCGGGCCACGTACCGGGAACGCAACAAGACCCGGGGACGCATGATCACAGAGGTGGATGTCTTTTTAGGTCTTGACTGCCATGCCCACAGTTGCCCTTCCCTGATCCCAGCTCATCTTTCTCCCTTCTCCAGACAGAGAAGTTCTCAGGGGTGGCTGGGGAAGTCCCCAGCAACCCATCTGTTCCAGTGGCAGTGGGCAGTGGGCCAGGCCGGGGTGATGCTGACAGTCACGCCAGTATGAAGAGTCTGCTGATCAGCAGGCCTGAGGACACCACACATAACCGCCGCAGCAGAGGTGCGATTCATAGCTGCTGGGAGAAATGGGTTCTTGGGCCACCCTGACTTCACTTTGCTATCTGGTCTCCCTCAGGCATGGTCCAGAACAGTTCCCCAATCACACACCCAGCAGTGGGGTCCTCTACTGCACCTCCTGAAGAGCCCTCAGGCTCCAGTTTACCCAGTGACACATCCGATGAGATTATGGACCTGCTGGTGCAGTCAGTAACCAAGAGCAGTCCTCGTGCCTTAACTGCTCGGGAAAGGAAACGTTCCCGTGGCAACCGCAAGTCTTGTAAGTACCCCAGCCCCCACCCCAAGCCCACCACCTTAGACCCATAGATCACTCCAACCCTGCTTTGTCCCTGCAGTGAGAAGGACGCTGAAGAGTGGGCTTGGAGACGAACTGGTGCAGGCACTGGGACTGAGCAAAGCTGCTGGCCTGGAGGTGTGAAGGGGCTGACTTCAGGATACCTGTCTGGATGCTCTTGCAGTATGAGATACTAGAGTGAAAAGGGCTCTACGCAGCCATCTGGTCCCAGAACCCTGTGTCCATGGGCCAGTGCCTTGAGCAGTATTAGGATGTATGTGGAGATGTGTGTGTGTGTGTGTGTGTGTCCATTTCCCTACTCAGGGAGAAAAATAAAGTTTTCCTACTTAGTCAAGAGCACTTTCTTCTTTCAAGTTTCTCACAAAGCTGGGCCTGTAGCCTTGTCCTTCATCATTGCCACACAGCCATTTGCCATATTGTAAGTCATTTATTTAACAATCCTATGCTGTAGGCCGCTTATGGCCCTTGGACTAGGCCCTCGTAGCTCCAGGCATGAGAGGCATATATCCTGAGAGCTAGCCAGTGCCTAGCAGCCTGTGGCCACATCAATGGCTATAGCCGTTTCATCTGCCGCCGCTCCTGTCGGCGCTGCCGTTTCTCATTTTGCTCTGGTGCTGGTGAGCCACTGTCTGCTGTGAACCAGGGTCCCAACACATTTACCCACAAAAGGTAAAGGGCCCGGCCAGGAGCCTAGGGGAGAAAAGGTAACTTGAGGCTACGTACAAAGAAGGAAGACTGGGGAGGGTTACATGCTTAGAGTCTCCTCCAGACTACGCACCAGAAGCCAGAAGGACCAGATGTACAGGGAGAAGCAGCTGAGAACCTGCACAATGGCTGTCAGTAGAATCACATCTTTAAGGTGCCTGTGGATAGAAGAGAGGCTGCCAAAGACAGTAGGTGGGCCCATTTGGCTCCCTTCCACTCTACTCAAGTTGTAAGTAGCTGTGGGTCTTGGGCCCTCAGGTTCCAGAGCCCCAGTCCTGGGGCCGCTCACCTGGGCTGGCGGTGGGGGACACTCACTCTGCCATGCCCTGCTCCATGTTGAGGTCCATGCCACCATCCATCAAGGCCCCATCCTCAGAGAAGGCTGCCCGAGCCATTGAGCTCATAGAGTGGTAGCTGGCCCCATACACTGCCAGACTAAAGCCCAGGGCCATCTGCAGACCAAAAACAGGGGTATCAAAGGGCAGCCACTGACCCTACACTCAATTACCTTCCAGGGATGCAAACACTTACCCAAGCCCAAAATGAGGCAGATGAATAGAAGAAGACCAAGGTTACAAGGCAGTAAATGGCCTGCAAACAAAGAGAGAGTCAGGGTTGAGTTGAAAGCTTATCTCCAAACTACAAACTTCTTTCAAGATTCTCTCAACTCTGACCATGAATTAAGCCAGGCTTTGGGAGAAGCTAGGTAGTTCTGGGGTAGAAGGAAGGGCCCTGCTTCCTGACTTTAAATAATCAGATTTGACTCTCAAAGCCAAGTCTGCCTGTGTACCTGGGGTGGGAAGGCCAACCATTTTCTTTTTTTTGTCAGTCATGGGGCTTGAATTCTGGGGCCTGGGCACTGTCCCTCAGCTCTTGATCTCAAGGCAAGTGCTCTACCATTTGAGCCAAAGCGCCATTTGCGATTTTTTGGTGGTTAATTGGAGATAAGAGTCTCGGACTTTCCTGCTCGGGCTGGCTTTTCATCATGATCCTCAGATCTCAGCCTCCTTGGTAGCTAGGATTACAGGTGTGAGCCACTGGCACCCGACACATTTTTTTTAATTTTTATTTTTTGTTGGGATTTACTTTCACTAATTAGCACTTTCTCTGTGCCTGAATCCTTTCTCATTCCTGTGTGTTTTTTGGGATGAGAGGAGTATCCTGAATTGAATCAGGGTAAGTGACACACTACTGAACTAAATAAAGCCCTGCTTTTCTTTTCCTTTTTCTTTTTTTTTGGGGGGGGGGTCTGGTCGTGGGGCCTGAACTCTGGGCCTGGGCGCTATCCCTCAGCTCTTCAGCTCAAGGCTAGTGCTCTACCACTTGAGCCACAGCGCCACTTCCGGCTTTTTTCTTTTTGTTTATGTGGTGCTGAGGAATCGAACCCAGGGCCTTGAGCATGCAAGGCAAGCGCTCTACCACTGAGCCACCTTCCCAGCCCTTTTTTTTTTTTTTGAGACAAGAGAAGAGCCTTTGCTGCCCAGGATGTCAGAAAACTCTTGATCATCCTGCTTCAGACTCCCAAACTGCTATCACAGGCATGCACCATCACATCTAGCCTCTGCTCCATACTTTTTTTTTTTTTTAATGTTCTTTGCTGGAGCTTTGGCCATATAAGAGTATTTGTGTTCAAGTGCACCTGGGAGCTCCCTTCTTGGGGCAAAATAGTTTTCCTAGCTAATCCAAGGGCCTTTTCCTCTTTCAAGGTTGCCACTAGGCTAGGCCTGTAGGAAGAAATAGAATAGAACTATCTCCCGGTTCTATATGGTACAGCTATTAGATGGTGTCCATACTCATCAAACAGGCTGATGACTGTGGGGCTATGAATAAATATAGAAGAAAGGAGGCAATTACTTACGTTGGCCCCTAGAATGATCCGCAGGTAGAACTTTAGGGTTTCTCTATTCTCTTCATATATCTGCTTCTTCCCTCTAGTGCCCACCTTGCCTTTGGGCTGTAGAGGGATGATAAAATGCTGTGAGAGCTATTCTCAGCCATAGTCCTCCTCACTCCCCGTACCAACTTGGCTAGCTACCAAGTTCCACCTGCACCTCAGCGAGATCCTCCTCATGCTCAAACGGTCCCCGGGATGTCCACCCTTCTTCCAAGCGTGTCTAGAGCTGACATCCATCTTTACAGCACTCTGCTATGATCGCCTCCTGCTCACCCTGAAACAATCCAATTTGGGCTAATACCTTCTCTAGCTACCCTGGTAAAGTCCAGCTTTTGGCTGGAGGCACTCCCTGGGTGGAGGTGAACGGCGCCCCTCTCCAGCCGAGGCTGGAGTAGCTCTACTCTGGTCTTTCGCCGCCATCTCCGTTCCCCAACACCCTCACTCTACTACAATCGGCCATTGGATGGCGCCCCTTCTGGCCCACTCCAAATTCCTCTTCACTCTCCTAGCCCCGGGAGCGTTTTGCTGATGTGAACCCCTCCCTAATTTCACTCCTTACCGCCATGGTGCAAAGCAAATACCCAGTCAGAGAAACAAGAGCGGGAAGCTGACACCACAGTCACTAGACACCACATCGGCAGACCATGCACTTCCGGTGCAGACCAACGCCGTCAGGATCTTGGACGGAAGTGGAGTCCACTTCCTTCCCAAGCCCCACCCCCAGCGTGAGCCAGACTACACTTCCCAGAAAACCTTGCGCGGGGGCGGAGACGGCAGGGATGCGATGGCGGAGTCGCTGCCCCTGGAGGTGAGAGGAAGCGGTCCTCAGGCCTAGCTCCGGACAGGCCCCGCCCTCAGGGACCCCAGCTTTGGGGAGGGGTTGTCTGACAGCTCACCCGGCACTTTCTGCTTGGCAAAAATGACCCGCCCGGAGGACGCTAGGACCTGCTATTTCTGGGTAACGGCCCCGCTCTGGGGGCCATCTGTCCCCTTTGGCTTGTCTTGGGGGACCATCCTCTTCCTCCCCATCGGACCCAGGAGGCAGCTGCTCTGTCGTCTCAGCGAGAATTAGACCCTCTTTCCACCCCCTTTCCTTTAGATGACCCTCCTCTTCCTCTCTGTTCTGGAAGATGTCTGCTCCATCCCATCGTCCCTAAAGGCTCCCAAATGGTCATTCTACTTCCTCCCCCTCCCTGGAAGTGGGAAGCCGACTGTTCTGGAAATGGGTTTTCTGAGGTCCTTTAGCAAGGAGGACAAGCCTGCTCCTCAATCTCTAGGTCCCCTAGTGATGTCCTCCTTTATCTTTTTCACCCCATGGGATGTTTGTTCATTCTCCTGTCCTCCTGGGGACAGGAGATAACAGGTTTTGTTCCTAATGGCTTCTCCATCCTTTTTGCTCTGAGGGTTGGCCGTCCCCTCCCATTGCCCAAGGGAGACAGGGCATTCTTTGCCATCAGTCCTGGAATGCTTTCTCTCCCTCGCAAAAATAAGCCTGTTCCTCCTTCTATGAGTCCCCGCAATGATCTCTTCTCTGCTTGACCCCAGAGGCTGTCCATACATCCCTGTAGATGTATGGACACTCTTATCACTCCCTCCTTTAGTCCCTCTAGAAAGGCCAATGAATCATGCCCCTCCCCCTTTGCTCCTGGGATTGGTTGCTCAGCCCAGAACACATGTGGTATCTTACTGGAGACATTTTCCTGCCTCTCCCTGTGGTTAGGGGCCTGCCTGGTCAGTGCTGGCTCCCATCAGATCTCTCTTCCCCATGCCTCTTCTCCCTGGTCTTGGCTCTACTTAATAGTCATCCTCCTCTGAGAAATAAACAGTTTTATCATCCTCACCCTGTTCCTTCCCCTTCTATACCCCTTTCCATCCTCAATTTAATCCAGTAAGTATTGTGGTGAGGACTTCTAAAGTGCTTAGCATCTGAGGAGAGAAGGAGAAATCAGAATGAGCCTGGTAAAGTCAAGCTTAAAGAAGGACATTAGAAAAAAAAAGACATCAAGGAAAGAGGTCTGTGTAGGCAAAAGGAAATAGATATGCTGTCTTTATGGACAGTATGGAGGATAGATTATAGAGGTTCTGGGACCAGCTGGCTCAAATAGGCATGGAGATCTGGCAGTACTCAGTGTGAAGATTTGGTCCTAAGAGAACTACGAAACCCTAAAGGTTTTTTTTTTTGTTTGTTGTTTTTTGTCGGTTGTGGGGGCTGAACTCTGGGCCTGGGCACTGTCCCTCAGCTCTTTAGCTCAAGGCTAGCGCCCTAGCATTTTAGCCACAGCCCTGCTTCCAGCTTTTTTCTACTTATGTGGTGCTGAGGCCTCATGCATGAGAGGCAAGCACTCTACCACTGAGCCAACTTTCCAGCCCTGAAGGTTTGTTTGTTTGTTTGTTTTAAATCAGGGATATACTGAAACTGGAATCAGTTTTGAACTGGATCTGTGAGGGCAGAAGGAAGAAGTAGGAATTCAGAAGATCAGAGGAGTGCTCCACCTACTAGATCTATGCAAGACATAATGCTGTATAACTTAATTCTTATAGCACCCCTTTAAAGCTCACTACAATTTCTGTTTCACAGATAGGGCTTAGAGGGATAAGTTGAAAGAGTAGGGTGTTTAGACTAGGTTTATCTACCCTCCCCCCCAAAAAAAAACTCACATTTTTTCTACCAAACTAGTCAGGAAGTTTGATTGTTACTAGGTGGTACAAGCCTGAACTTGAATGGTGCTCAGGAAAGGTTTATTCACAGTAAAGATATTTGGAGGCTGAAGAGAGTAAGCAAATACTCCATGAAGCCTCCATCTAATGCTCTGAGGGTACAGAGCTCTGGTACCCTCAGATCCACAGTGCTATCAGCTGGAGTAGATGCCAAAGGCCCCTCAGCACTAATAGTTGGTAAATGCTCTGTCTTTCCCCCTCAGATGCTCACATATATTCTGAGTTTCCTGCCTCTGTCAGATCAGAAAGAGGCCTCCCTGGTGAACCGGGCTTGGTACTGTGCAGCCCAGAATGCCCTCCGAGAGGTAAGGTTCTCATCCTATCTTGCCCATTCTGTATTGTCTCACTTCAGCTTGCTCCTATCTCTGCTCATCTATCATCTATTTACTATCTAGTCATATATATTTATATACTCATGCATATTTTGCTATGGGTACAGAGCTGAGGCAATCAAGATGAATAATATGTGGTCCACATAAGGAGTACATAGTCCAGTGAAGGAAAAAGACAAGTAGTATGAATGATCTTGATAACCATGGCTCAGTGCAACAGGGACATGAAGGACATCCAAAGGCTATCAACCAACAGTGCAGGGAAGACCTCCTGAAGGAGTAGGATGAGAATTCAGGTTGATCTTCTAGAACTGGTAACAGCACAGGTGGAGGCATCCAGGTGTGGTATAGTTATCTGGAAACATCCAGATAACTGGAACTGAGATACATGTGAGAGAAGTAGTAGGAAATGAGACTAGAATAGGATCAGACTGCAAGTTGGCAGATGTGCCAGGGAGCAGAGCTTGGGCTTTCTCCTAATCACTGTTGTGGAGTCTGTGAGGAATGTTAAGGCAGCCTAGTGACAATATGTGATTTGTGTCATGGAACTCTGCAGTGCAGAGTGGACAGGAGTATAGGAAGACAGCCTAGCAGGAAGATGAATGTAGACATCTTGACATTTATGCTAGTTTGAAAGACAATGTTACAATGTCACAATGTTTTAAGTTTAGTTTCTTTAATTATTAGTGAAGTTGAATAGTTTTTTTTTCAGTAGCTGACTGTTGGTTCTTCCTTTGTGATTTCTATGCATTTAACTATCTGGGTGTTAGTATTTTTCTTACCCATTTGTATGAATTTTTATATATATCAAGAGATTGATTTTTATATATTTATTGAAATATATTCCTGATATGTTTGCCTCTTCATAAGATTGGTAGGCATTTTTGCTTTTGAGACACCGAGCCTGAATTCTGAATATCCATTTTCTGTATTTCCTTCATTGTTGTTTAAAGAGTTCCTTTTTTATTTCCTTCATTGTTGTTTAGAACTCCTTCAGAGATTTTAATAAATATACATTTTTCTTTTTTAATGTAATTTTTAGAGATGTTGTAGATTCACAGCAAAATTATTTCTTCTGATTTTTACTTGGTAAGATTTCTTTTTATTGGGGCTGGGAAGGTGGCTCAGTGGTAGAGTGATTGCCTTGCATGCATGAGTCCCTGAGTTCGATTCCTCAGCACCACATAAGCAGAAAAAACCAGAAGTGGCACTGTGGTTCAAGTGGTAGAGCACTAAGCTTGAGCTGAAGATCTGAGGGACAGTGCCCATGCCCAGAGTTCAGGCCCCACAACAGACAAAAAGAAGATTTATTTTTAAATGTTATGAAGTAATAAGTAAGCTGACTGGACCTGATAAGAGGTAGGCTGAAGAAATAAACTGCAATATGATGTAGAAGTGATTGCATGGGGGCTGGCAAGCTTGGCCTCTCTCTTGTAGTTGGGGAGACTTGTCAGAGGGCCTGAAGAGCATCATCAGATTTGCCTTAGATGATAAGATCAGGCATGGATTGGAGGCAGAGAAAATAGAGACTAGAACCTTTAGGAGGAAAGTGCTGTGACATATTCCTGGCAGATAATAGAAGGACCTGAACGAAGCCAGAAGCAGTGAAGTTGAAGCAGAGAGACATAATTTCAATATATCAAGGAATTGGAGCAGATAAGACTTTGGCCATTGTGGATGTGAGCAGTGAGGATGACTTGGTAGAGGCTGCCAAGAGATTAGAAGGAGCACAGTTAGGGACAGATGGCAAACTCAGATCTGAGTATGTTATATTGGGGCTATCTGGAGAGAGGTCCTTGAAACTCCTAGGGCTTGTTGTTTAGGAGAAGTATATGGGCCAGAAAGAAAGCAATTGGAAAGAAAAGATTGCCCAATGAGATGAAATATGGCATGCCGGGGGTACATGGAAATAGACAAAGATTGTGTGTATGTGCATGCATATATTTGTCTCCAGGTAGAATAAACCAGGAGGAAGCCATCATCTCTTGACTGGGTCTCTCTTCTTTGGTTGCCCCAAAAGAGACCAGTGAGGAGCAGGGTAGCAGGTAAGAGAAGAGCCAGGAGGGCAGTCTCAGACCCCCCAGTGAGAAATACCACCAAGGACAATAGCTAGGAAATTGTCCCTAGCAAGTGGCATGTTGTACAGGACATTGTGGGAGATTGGAAAGAAGCCCCTACATGTTGGTAGTAGAGAGAACCTTACTGGAAGGCTGGGAATGTGGCTTAGTGATAAGAGTGCTTGCCTAGGGCTGGGAAGGTGGCTCAGTGGTAGAGCACTTGCCTTGCATGCCTGAGGCCCTGGGTTCAATTCCTCAGCACCACATAAGCAAAAAGAAAAAAAGCCTGCAGTGGTGCTGTGGCTCAAGTGGTAGAGCGCTAGCCTTGAGCTGAAGAGCTGAGGGACAACGCCCAGGCCCAGAGTTTAGGCCCCACAACTGGACCCCCCCCCAAAAAAAAAAAAGGGTGCTTGCCTAGCATGCAGAAAGCCCTGGGTGTGATTCCTCAGTACCACATAAACAGAAAGAGCCAGAAGTGACGCTGTGGCTCAAGTGGTAGAGTGCTAGCTTAAACTCAGAGATGCTCAGAGACAGACCCCAGACACTGAGTTCACACCCTAGGACTGGGAAGAAGGAGAGGGAGGGAGGAGGGAGGGAAAAAGAACCTTATTGGAGAGAAGCTGACACCATGAATGAGTGAATCTGCTGAGGTGGGGATGGAGGAGGGATTGTAAAGCCAGACAGTAGATGTGGGTGTGGCCTTGTGCTTCCAAAGGTGCAGCTGGAAGAGGAGAAATCAGAGAGGAGAGAAGAGGGGCTGCAGGATGAAGGGAGCTTGATTTGTTGTTTGTGGAAAGAATGGGAGTAAGACAGAAACAATACAACTCCCTGAAGAACTTGGGATACCTCTTCCTGGGGCCAAGAGAAAAGGGCAAGCAAAATCCAAAGAGCAAGAGTGGGAAGGAGGTCCGGGTCCTGCCAGGAACCAGTTGTCAGATATGAACAAGGGAAGAGGAAACTTCTCACCTGGTTTCTATTAGAAGCAGAACAGTTCTTCCCTAAGAAGGCAGGTAAGGTGAAGCACTGCATAGGCTCAGAGCTGGAGAAAATGGTGGGTTAGGAGAGAGTTTCTGGAGGATGGGAAGGGGTAGAAAGGTAAGAAGGAGTCAGGATAGGAGAGGCCAATTTTGGAATAGGAAAGAGGAGAGACCCTGGCTTCCTTGGCAGTATTCATTATCCTCTGAAGAGGCAGCTGATTTCATTAGGAGAATAGACACAGCATCATGAGGGAAGCAAGACAGCAAGTTCTGAGGAGAGAGAGTGGAGGCAGGGCTTTGGGTATAGGTGGGGTGAGGAGGAGCGAAGAGGAAGAGAAAAGGAGGGTAGCATCAGTGACAGTGGTCTTAGAGGCTACCATTATAGAGCTGAAGCTGCTCTCCAGCTAACCACATATCCCAGAGAGGAATCTGCAGGACTCTGTGGGCAGGAACCATCTCCCAGGGCCCAGGTGTGGGCAAGTAGAAGAGGAAGCAGTGTCCTCAGTCACTGATGGTATGGAACAGCTATGGATTGCCAAAGCCAAGCTGGCCTAGGTCTAACCAGCCTAGGATGCTGGATTTGGTAACTTCTTATTTCCCTAACCTACCTCTACTGTTCACATAATCCTAATCTCAAATAAGGATGCAGGCAGTGGCAGTGCTCTCCAACAAACCTAGGCGCTACTGAGAAGCACTGATTGTCCATTGTTGGGTTGTTCACTGTAGAGAAAGAGCAGAAGACTCTGCCCTCCACTGCCTCCCCCATCCCAACCTGAGAGGAGTTTAGCTCCTTTCCAGAGTACCAGGCCTGCATTTCCCCACATTCTTCTGTTGAAACAGGCACTTTAGCCTTGCTTCTAGTACAGAATACAGGGAGGCCTTTTCTCCATCAGGTCTCTGAGCTTGTACTCAGGCCTATAGTTTCAATGCAGGGCTTCACTAGGGAACCACAAAACCCTGGTCTCCCATGGTCAGTGGGCATTTGTTACATTTGTTTGTCTGCTTAGCATACTTACTTAAACAAACTCAGGTTCGAACTTAGGGCCTTGCATTTGGTTCCACTTGCAGTGTGTCCCGTCTCCCCCCCCACCCCCCGCCCCCAATTGTTGTCACTTTTAAAAGTAGGCATTTAGATGCTTCTCAAATGACTTTGTAATTGCTTATGAGCTGCTGGAATGGCCGGGCACCTGTGGCTCACACCTGTAAAACTAGCTACTCAGGGGGCTGAGATCTGAGGATTGTGGTTTGAAGCCAGCTCAGGTAGAAAAGTCCCTGTGAGACTTTTATTTCCAGTTAACCACTCAAAAACCAGAAGTGGGACTGTAGCTCACAGTGGTAGAGCACTAACCTTGAGCAAAAGAGCTCAGGGATATCAAGGACAACACCCAGGCCCTGAGTTCAAGCCCCACAATAAAAAAAGATGTGGGCATGGAAAAAGGAGGAGACTAGGATGATTGGCTGGTCCCTAAAACTGGAAGATGAACTTTTTTGTGTATGTGCTAGTCCTGGGGCTTGCACTCTATCACTTGAGCCACAGCTCCACTTTTGGCTTTTTGTTGTTGTTTTTGTTGTTGCTAGTTAATTGGAGATGAGTCTCACAGACTTCCCTGCCTGGGCTGGCTTTGAATCTTTTTTTTTGGTTGGCCGAGGGGCTTGAACTCTGGGCTTGGGCGCTGTCCCTGTGCTCTTCAGCTCAAGGCGAGCGCTCTACCACTTGAGCCACAGTGCCACTTCCGGTTTTCTAGTGGTTTATTGGAGATAAGAGTCTCACTGACTTTGCTGCCCGGGCTGGCTTTGAACCGTGATCCTCAGATCTCAGCCTCCTGAGTAGCTAGGATTACAGGCGTGAGCTACCAACACCTAGCCTGGAACAGGAATTCATAAACAAAAAGCCCTAAACAGCTTCTCTAGGCTCCTTAAGTTAAGACCACTTGACCTCAGGAGCAGGATAGGGTGATAAGTGGTCTTATCCTAGTATCAAAAGTCCTGCAAGGGTCTGGGAAGGTGGCTCAGTGGTAGAGCGCTTGCCTTGCATGCCAGAGGCCCTGGGTTCGATTCCTCAGCACCACATAAGCAAAAAGAAAAAAGCCAGAAGTGGCGCTGTGGCTCAAGTGGTAGAGCGCTAGCCTTGAGCTGAAGAGCTGAGGGACAGCACCCAGGCCCAGAGTTCAGGCCCCATGACCGGACCCAAAAAAACAAACAAACAAATGTCCTGCAAGCTAGGCCCTGCCTGTTTGTCCAGTACCTTTTGGCTGACAGTTGTCAGCCCTGGACTGGGCCCAGTGTAACTGTCAGTATTCTCCCTTCACACTGTGTCTACCTTGCACATAAGGAGTTAGCCTGCTGTTCAGGCTCTCAGGAAGAGGATGAGAATGCGCACCTGTAGCTTCTGCTGCCAGTTGAGGCCTGTGAGACTTTCAGGCTCCACATAAGAGTGGTGGGGGCGGGTGCTGCCTGGGCAACCAACTCTCAGCTCTCAGCTCCCCCAACACTCGTTTATTCCTCATAGACTGACTCATCCATCCTGCAAGGCTTGGCAGTGGCAAGAGGCATAATTCTTTCCTTTCCACACCTTTCTCTTTCTGACCTTTTCATCTCCCTCCCCAGCCTCCTGCCTTAGCTCTCCTTAAATCTGAGAGGGACCCAGACTCGGGAGTCCCTGATGTCCTATCTCAAGAGATCTTCTATGAGTGCTGTCACTGGGAAAGGCCATGATTTGGAGGTGGGATCCAGAAGGGAAACCTAACCAACCTCTGATTGCTGTGAGAAGCTGGTGCCAGTTCTTACACACATTCTGCTTGCCAACATAACAGCAATGGTGGCCACTTCTGTCGGAGGCAAAAGCCAGGCTGATTTCTACCCCCATCTCTACCTGGGAGAGTCCTGCTGATAAAATTTTGTAGGAGCCCATCCTGCATGTCACTATTACATTTCCCTTTCCCTTTTGGTGCTGTCAGTGAGATACACAGCAAGAACAGTGGCTTCTTTTGCAGGCACTGGTAAGATTTCAGGGAGCTTGCTTTCCTGCATTAGGATGCAAAACCAAGGGTCTTATTTCACTACAATTTGCTTGCAATCTAAGAAAGAAGGGAACAGCCTTGAACATGCTAAGTGAGCACTCTACCACTGAGCCATATCTCTAACCCAGGGTCTAGGATTTTAGAAGCCAAGTAGTTTTTCCTTCCCCTACAGGCCTCTTGCATACAAATTATACTGACTTCCTCTTGGCTACATAAGAGCTAGGAAGATTTAATGAAAATAATTTTCTTAGGTGGAGGCTCCTATACTCTTGCACCAGGCAGCTTATACAACTTAGTGATAAATGTGCCTCCTGGGTCATACCCTACTCTCACCATGCATTCCTTATTCTTGCTCTCCTGAACAGGGCCAGCTCAACTTCCTTAGCACCTCCTCTGAGAAGGCTTCTTCCTTACCTTTTTTTTTTTTTCCTCCTAGGGGTGGGGTGGTGGTGGTGATGGTACTGAGGCTTTAACTCAGGGCCTGAGGGCTATCCTTTAGCTTTTTTTGCTCAGTGCTGATGCTCTACCACTTGAACCATATCTCCATTTTGGCTTTTTGCTAGTTAATTAGAGATGAGTCTCCCAGACTTTCCCGCCCAAACTAGCTTTGAACTGCGATCCTCAGATCTCAGCCTCCTGAGTAGCTAAGATTACAGGTGTGAGCCACTGACACCTGGCTTCTCCTTCCTTATCTAGATGTGCTACAGGGATTCTCCTGACTTCGGGCAGTCCTACATGTGTTTGTTCATGTGTGCTTACATGTACACATACATGCTCAGGCACATGGTCTTTCCTTTACACACAAAACTATTTTTGCAAACATTCATATGCCTAGGGCACTTTGAGGCCACCAGGGGCTCCACACTTCACTGCCTACTGCAGACTTCTGGCACCTGGGCCACAGAAAGTTGTAAACACTGCTTCACTTCTTCTATTTATTTATTTATTTATTTATTGTCGGTTGTGGGGCTTGAACTCTAGGCCTGCACGCTGTCCCTCAGCTCTTCAGCTCAAGGCTAGCCCTCTACCTCTTGAGCCATAGTGCCACTTCCAGTTTTCTGAGTGGTTTATTAGAGATAAGAGTCTCACAGACTTGCCGAGCTGGCTTTGAGCTGTGATCCTCAGATCTCAGCCTTGTGAGTTGCTAGGATTACAGGTGTGAGCACCAGGCGCCCAGCTTTTACTTCTTCTAAAAACGCTATAAATAACCTACAAAAATGGGAGGGAAGAAGTGGTAAAGCATTAGCCTTCAGCAAAAAAGAGCTGTCTGCTTAGCTAATACCAAGTTCCTAGAGCAGGAGACTGGGAACATGGAGGTCAGGGCCTCCTTCTGAGAGTTTGCAAGGTTGGGGTCCAGATACTTTGTCCTCTTGCCCAATAGGGTTTCATTGGGCTTCCTTCAGGTCACATCTCAGCCCTCCTGTGCTCAGCCAACTCCCTGCTCTGTGCCTGCCCTTCCTTAGGCATCTAGTCCTGTCCTTTCACTAATCTTCTTGCCTGCCTCCGATAGGCAGCACTCTTCAAATCCCAACATGATTTGTTGTCCCCACTCCCATTTCCTCCCTACACCCTTCAACCACACATCACAGTGGATCTTCATTGTGGAGGAACCCTTCCTCACCTGCCCTCAACCTCTGGCCAGAGAACTAACCTTAGGCCTACTGCTACTCTATAGAGAAAAGTGCGGTACAACATCCCTGTGTCCTCTGCCTCACTCTCGGCTATCAAGAGCTTGGGCCTCCGGGGCATCTCCTGCATCAGCTTAGTCAACCTGGATGGCTCACCAGCCTCCCACCAGGTGCTCCAGTCCATTGCCTACCACCTAGGCCCACACCTGCAGAGCTTGTGCCTGGGTGGGGGCAGTCCCACAGAGGCCTCCTTTGTGGCTCTGGTCCTGCGATGCCCAGCCTTGCGCACCCTTGATCTCAGTGGCTGCAACAGCCTTTTTACATCAGACATGCTACTGGCTCAGCCTGAGACAGCACAACGTGTCCGGCAGGCGCTAAGTGGCCTCCGTGAGCTCAACCTGGCCGGCCTGCGAGACCTGACTGACCTCAGCTTCAACCAGCTCAGCAACTGTGTCCCCAGCTTGGAGCGCCTCTCTTTGGCTTACTGCCACCTTACCTTCGAGTCAGCCCCAGCTTGGGGTCCCCAGGGCTCCCCACCCTTTGAACTATCCTTCCAAAACCTGCTGAAATTCGTGAAGGAACGGGCTGGCAGTTTACGCTCCCTGGACCTAAGTGGCACTGGCTTACCACCTGAGGCCCTGCGGGCCCTAGGCCAGGTGGCTGGGCTGCAGCTGCAGGAGCTGAACCTGCACAGCTGCCGGGACCTCTCTACAGAGGCTGTGGCCACTCTGTGCCGTCAGCAACCTGGCCTTACTTCCCTGAACCTCAGCGGCTGCTCAGAACTGACTGATGGGGCACTTTTGGCTGTGAGCAGGGGCCTACGACATCTGCGGCACCTGAGCCTTGGGAAGCTGCAACGGCTGACAGATGCAGGGTGTACAGCCCTCGGGGGCCTGCGGGAATTGCAGAGCCTGGACATGGCTGAGTGCTGCTTGGTGAGCGGGCGGGAGCTGGCCCAGGCCCTGGGAACAGTACGTGGAACTCCACCCCCATTGACCTCTCTCAGGCTGGCCTACTGCTCTTCACTAAAGGTGAGCAACCCTCTCTTCCTCTCTAGGGCAGCTTGGAGGGTGGGGATGAAGGGCTTGCCTGTAGCCCCAGGCAAAGTAGTTAGAGCATAGCCATGGTCTGGAAGAAAAGAGAAACCCAAACATAGGCTGTTGGCATGCCTCCCCAGAGTCTCCACTCTAGGCCCAGGCAAAGAAAGTCCCAAGACATTAAGTGTATCCCAATACTTACATACGTATTCTGGAAGCAGGAAGGCTGGAGAAAGGGTAATGGAAGAGAATGGCAGGGAAGGGGGCTCTTAAGAAGGCACTCAAGCAGGACCTCCAGAGAGAATTTCACATGGTAGTAGAGTTGCTTCCTAGCAAAAGTGAGTCCTTTCGTATGGCTCATTCTTGTTCCTCTGGATGGCATTTCTGTCTTCTGAGAATGTCGCACAGTCTCTCCTTACCGGGTTATTCTTTCAACCTATTACTGTGATGTGGGCACTACCTGTCTCTCAACCTTGTTTTGCTGTAAGTGCCCCTTTCCTGGGCCTATTTATTCCTTTGGATGTTAGTGTCTCTTACTGTTCTCCTGGGCCTCACCATCCCTGTGCCTCCCCAGCCCCTCTATATCTCCCTAAAAGCCAGCATCCTCTGCCCAGGCCCTCAGATCCTGCTGCTCCATCTCTATTTTTCTCTGCAGGTGACAGTCTCAGTTCTGACCACAGCCTCACACTTGTGGTTCAAGTTCTAGAGGGAGCACTTCTGATTGGCTCTGCTTAGTCACCTGTTCACCCCTGGCCCAATGGGCTGAGGGTCATCCCATCCTTTATCAAGAGTTGGGAACACAAGCAGGGCAGATATCTTGGAAATTTCTACCTACATTCTTTCTGCATCATTTGCAGTCAACTTTTGTCCGTCAGCAGCCTCTTCATGGTTCTCACCCCCATGGGCTACCGTGTCCGCTTCAAACTTGGATAGCCAGCGTGGGCCATGCAGCCTGGGTGCTGCCTGGGTCCTCTGGCAGCTCCCTGTTGTCTTGTTCCAGGAACCTTGGGCAGACCCTTGCTGGGGACCTCTACTCTGGCTTCTTCTCCCTACCTTCTAGGACGCATCTGTGCTCTCCATGATCCCAGTGCTGAGCTCGAGCTTGAGGGTGCTAGACTTGTCATCTTGTGTGACTCTCACCAACCGGACCATGCAGGCCATCTGCTCCTACCTCACCCACCTCTCAGTCCTGCGCCTGGCTTGGTGCAAGGAGCTCTGTGACTGGGGGCTTCTGGGGCTGGAGGAACCAAATGAGGAGCCTGCATTAGGCCCCCAGGTGGGAGATCTTAAGGCCAGGGAGAGTGGGGTGACCTCTGGGCTCAGCTGCCCTCCTAACCCTTCCCAAGTTTCTCTTTAGAAACATATGAGGCCAAACTCAGGAAGAACCTGAGAAGCAGGGGTTTCTTTCCACAGTCACATGCAGAGCTGAAACATCAGGCCTCGGACTCTACGGATCCTTCTCCCCAACCACAGCGCCCCTCCCTGCTCAAGCTTCAGGCCCTCCAGGAGTTGGATCTCACAGCCTGCAGCAAGCTGACCGATGCCAGTTTGGCCAAGGTGTGGGTAGGCTGAGGATCTTGGGGCTGGAGCCAGGGGCCTGGGCCAACCCACTTTTTACATGGCATGCCTTTCTTATTGAGTTCCTGTCACACCCCTGAGGTGGGAAGGGGCCCAGGCTCTGAGTTCCAATGCCATCTCCTTTACAGGTGCTTCAGTTCCCCCAGCTGAGGCGGTTGTCACTGAGCCTATTGCCAGCACTCACAGACATGGGTTTGGTGGCTGTGGCCAGGGGCTGCCCCAGTCTGGAGCGTTTGGTGCTGAGTCACTGCAGCCATCTTAGTGATGAGGGCTGGGCCCAGGCAGCCAGGTCCTGGCCAAGGCTGCAGCACATCAACCTATCCAGCTGTAGTCAACTCACAGAGCAGTGAGTGTGTGACAGCACTGAGCAAATGGAGCCACAGTGCAGGGGACGGGCTGGGGCCTTGGGTTGGGCTAGGCACTCATCCAGTGGCCTTTCTACAGAACACTGGATGCCATTACTCAGGCATGCAAGCAGCTCCAGGTGTTGGATGTGGCCATGTGTCCTGGTATTAACATGGCGGCCATCAGGCGCTTTCAAGAACAGCTGCCTCAGGTGACCTGCATCCAGTCCCGCTTCGTTGGAGGGGCTGACCTGACTCTCACACTCTAAGACCAGGTCAGTAACCAGCCCTACAGCTTAGTCTTTACCATAACCTTTGGTTCCAGCCCAGGTCTAAGGACTTAGGAGTTTGCTGTAGGGCCCCTTGCCTCCTGCTTCAAAGTTTGTCTAGGACTCAATCTAGGTCATCCCAGGAAACTTCCTGCCCTAGGCTTCCCTGCAGGCAACAGTCACTTTCCATTCACCCTGTTTGGGAGGCCAGGCCCACAGGCAGGCTCAGTCTGGTGCCGGGACAGAGTAGACCCTGTACTTCCCTGCCCACCCAACATCTTACACCTAAGGCCAGTATTCTTTGTACTTGCTCCCTCTGAGTGCTCTCCCAGCCCTCATATGCACTGAGCTTTAACAGCCAAACTACCTACTTCTGGTAAACCCAAACAGAATTAAAAGTTCCAGATCTTACCTGTTCTGAAGTTCTCAGACTAAAGGGCCCTTCATCTCCTACCTCAGTTGACCCTTCAGGGCTGGTCAACACTAACTCAATCAGGAGACATTAAAGCCATTCCCAGCACAGTATCCTGGACATGCCTTGCTGCAATGGTACTGGGCCCAGCCAGAACTCAGGAACAACTGGTTAATGATGGCTGATTCAATGTACTGTTTTCATAGCGGGTAGGAGACGGGAAAAGAAAAATAGGACAGCATCTCTGGGTAGAAGAGTCATTATAGGCCTTCTAGCCCAACCCTCTAAACAGTGTCAGTGACTTCTCAACAACATCTATGAGATGTCCCCACACTTTGTCCATCTATCCATCAATTCTAGAAGTACTTAGATGGTGCTTCATGTAGGGGTTGAGTGCCAACACTGCTAGTCCCCAGGCCAGCTGGAAAGACAAATAAGCCAACTGTCAGGGGTGATCTAATGTGATGAGTGTGTGTGGTAGAGAAACCAGAATTCCAGGGCAGCAATGAACTTGGAGGGTCAAGGAAGGAATAAAAGCAGTGAAAAATGAGAGAAGGGCAAGGTAGACGGTGGGGGGGGGAACTATGGGGGTACACATAGGCAGTCCAGAGCTATTGCTGAGCCGATAAGAGTAGGCTCTGATGAGGTACAGAGAAGATTCCATTCAAGAATGGCTGCAGACTACAGGTACAGTAACTAAACTACATGTCTGCAGCCTACCTATCTCAACTCTGCTCAATCATGGTAACCATGACCATTAGTTCATAGACAATGAATAGGGAGACACTTAAGAATATAGAGTGTATATGAGTGTGTAATGACATGATTTATGATTTACAAGGAAGGTGGAATAACAGGTACTGAGACGACTGGAACACAACTAGAGGTCAGAAGTCAGGAGATAGTTGCTGAGATGACAGTAGCATGGACAATGGACTGAAGACACTGAAAAGGAAGAATGGGCAGTATGGGCAGCCCAGCTACATCTGGGATCCCTGCCTCCTGTTTCCACCTTGAACTCAATAACAAACCACTCTAAGTGTGATGGGAAGTCTCTCAACCCAGCCTGGCACACTGGATGCCTAAGGATAAGAAGTGCTGGCTGGGATGGGGGAAAAGACAAGTGGATTCTCCAAATGAGATGCTGTTTCATCTGTCTTTAAGGTAAACTACTTGAGGAGGTACTAGGTAAGAAACAGTGAGTGGCGTGGATAAGGAAGGTAGGTAGCAGCACTCAGCCTGCCTCGTGCTCTTCTGTGCCTCAGGGACTTGGAGCCTCCATTCCTCCAAGCCTGACCTGCCAGACCCAACACCCCTTCTTTAGCCTTTAAAGTGTCTGTTTTGTCTGTGGCCTGTACCTCATTCATACTCCTGAGTTGGATTTTGGTGCTGGCACAGGGGCTTGAACTCAGAACCTTGCACTCTTGCTTGGCTTTTTTACTCACAGCTTGGTGCACTGCTACTTGAACCACGTCTCCAGTCTGGCTTTTTTCAAGTTAAGAGAGTCTCATGAGTTTATCCAGGCTGGCTTTAAACTTCAATCCTCAGATCTCAGCCTCCCGAGTAGCTAGGACTATAGGCATGAGCCACTGGTGCTCAGCTCTGAATTAGGTTTTAATGGCATGCAGAGCTTTCAGTAAAGAATTCCCTTTTGTCTAAATCTGCTTAGAAACTACACCGGCCTCGGGATGCTCTTTGGAACTAGGGGTTTGGTTCCTCAGCAGAAAGTAGGTCCCATTATACACCTCTCCTTTCATGCCTCTCACCAGAGACCTCCAAACTGCAAAAAGGACTAGCCAGGACAAGCAGAGATGAAGACTGAGTTCTGAGGATTGTAAACAGCATTCTAGAAGCATTGCTCCCAGACTCAGCCCCTGTAATGTTGCCCAGAAAGCATCTCTTTGGAGCAATGCCTCCTGTCCTGCTACTTGGCAGGTGCCAACAAGACAATAGGTCATGCCTCTGTGAGTTCAGCACTAAAGGAGAATGAGAATAATCCCCACAGTCCCTGCCTCCCATGAACACCAGACCCCCAAGTGTGGCTGCTAAGTTTGTGGTCCTGCCTGATGTCTTATTCATGAGCTAAGTTTGAAGACAAAAGAGGGATGACTATCCATATTTGTCACAGGCTTGGCCCACAAGGTTCAGTGCTTGCTTGATACACTTTATTTCTGCTGCAGCTTCTGCTGGCTAGGGGCCCCATTCTGCTCTACCCAATTTGTGGTTGCTGCAGTTACAGCAACTGTGGCCCTCACTCAACCTCATTGTCAAGGTTCAGTGATGCTGCAGTCATAGCAGAAGTTGAAGTTGGTGGGGGGTGGAGGCACGGGCGGTGGCTGCTCTGGGATGGGTATGTTCTCCAGCTCCAACAATCGCAGCTTGGTCTCCATGGTCAGTAGCTGCTCCAGGTCCAGCCGGGTTTGCTCACTGCCCATGGGGCTACCCAGCAGGGCGCACAGCCCATCCGTCCACAAATAGAACTTGGGACAGATAGGGGCCAGCTCAATGAAGGTCTGCCCATCTGATCCCTCAGCCATCTGCCCAATTCAGCCAAGCCCAGAGACTCACATCCCGCTTGGAGGGGGCAATGAAGTTGAGGTACACCTCTTCTTCCCCATGGTCGTAGCTGATGGAGAATGCCAACTCACAGAGGTCCTAAGGAACCAGAGGGCAAGAGCACTGAGCTAGGAACAGACAGGCAGGGGCAGGTGGGAAGAGGCCCACGGCCCCGCTGCATTCACCTTGTTCTGCTTCCCAGAGCCCTTCTCCCGGATGTGGGGGCAGTCCTTGCCAGTTAGGAGTGCCCTGATGTCAGCTACAGCGACTGCAGGAAGAAAACCAGGCTGACCATTGGGACCCTAGGCAGCCCCAGGGCACAGGGCATCTGAGTAAAGCAGCTGTCAGAACCCTGGCCCTGCCCTCCTTACCCTGTTCTGGCAGGCTTTCTGGGGCAGGGGGGTTGGCACCCTCCTCCACATCTCCATACTGCAGCACCTTGTGGTTGGGTGATAGGCAGCAGAACCACAGCTTGTCTGTGCAGAGAAGGGGAAGAGGGAAGGAGTGATGAGAAAGGCTCTGACCCCAACCTACACACCCTGTGCCCCTCCTTGACCCACTCAGAGACCCTGACGTCTCCGGCTGCTGATCTTGCGGAAGAGTGTCCCTTCGCATAGGCGGAGCAGACGCTGCTGGCGGATTAGGCCCAAGAGCTCTGGCTTCAGCTTCTCCCGCAGCTCCCTGGGATAGAGGGGTGGCAGTCAGTGACCAGGACTGACCTAGGGCACAGTCCACAGGGTACTTGGGAAGATGGGAACTGGTACTGAGGAATCTGTCCCTGACAACTCACAGTATGGGAGGGGCGAGGGTGCCCTCCTGGTGCAGCCGCTCCGTCTGCCGCAGCCGCAGCACCTCCCCATAGGTGAGTGTGTTCACCTTGGTCCGGAAAAGCTCCAGGGATGTGGGCTTCAGGGCCAGTGTACGGGCCAACTGCTCCCGTACCACCTGCATGACCTGAGGCCACCCCAAGCACAATATGGAGCCTGACCTCTGGGCCTCTTTCCAGAACAGACCCCTGCTTGGCCTCCCAGCTCTTTCTCCCCCCGCCCCCACCTTGTCAAAATCCTCCTGTGTCGCCCGCATCTCCTTCCAGGTCTTATTCAGCAGCTGGATGGACACGCAGAAGAGCTCATGGAAGCTCTGGTCTTGGCTGAAGAACATGGGAAAGAAGTCCTGGGCCGTTTCGGAGCCTGGAGCAGGGGGGCAGGAGGGGCTCAGGGAGAAAGTGTGTATAACCCCTGGCCCTCTCTGCCCTTCCGTCCCCTGTCCCCGGACATGCTGGACCCAGCACCACTCACAAGGCTCCCCGACATGGAGCAGTTCGCACAGCAGCACTGTCAGCTGGATGCTGCTCCGGGCAAAGGGGCACTCATGCTTATCCTCCCGGCTGCTGTTCTCCAGCACAAACTGGGGTAGTGGGCACAGGGAGTGGGACAGAGTCTCAGCTAAGCCCATGGGGATCCTGCCAAGGTGGGACTAGTGCCATCCCTGCCACCCTGTCACTGACCCGGCTATATGCACTAGGGGCATGTCTGGAGAAGTAGAGCATGTTGTCCAGAGCCAGCAGGCCAGGGGGCACGCGCTCCAGGTCCTGGGCTGGGTTGCTGTTCTGGAGGTGGGAGCACAGGCAGCTCAGGAAGGGCCACAACAGCCCTTGTAGAAGCCTCGGGTGGGGACTTGGGTAGAGGTTACTCACAGAGAAGCCCAGTTTGCGAAATTCTCGGGCACAGAGGGAACGGCGGCGGTCTGCACTCAGCCCAGTGCCCAGAGATTCCCCCTCTGGCTCAAAGGCAGCCTGGCGCAGGGCCTGCAGCTGCTCCCGCTGTTCCTGGGGTTATTGTTGGATAAGTATCAAAATCAGAGATTCAAGGCCAATCTCCAAGCCATCCCCAGACTGCTTCCCCCAGGACACACACCTGACTGTAGGGGTCGAGTGGTGTACGCATACGTGGCTCCAGCAGCCCCAGTGTAAGGGCCTGCAGCACATATAAGTGATGAGCCATCTCATCGCCCAGCGGCACAGCACTATGAATGATATTCTGGAAGACAGGCAGGCTGTGGATGTGACTCACTGGGAGAAGAGGGATAAGGAGGGAGGAGGGCCCTCGCTGGTCCAACCGTTCCTACCTTGTAGATGAACTGGCGAAGGTTCCTCTGCCATAGGTAGTCAAGCATTTGCTGCAGGAAGTGTGAAGGGGGTTCAGTGATTGATCCTCAGGTTGGAACACTATAGCCATCAGCTGATAATCCCCACCCAGCCACCAGTGACGCTCACCTTACGTTCAACAGGACTGGCTCCCTGTAGCAAGGCTGTCAGCAGTGCCATGGCCTTGGTTTGCAGCTGTTGGTTCATCCTATGGCAAGAGGAGGGGTGGGCTCAGTTGCACATACTGGGTCCAGGTCTAGTACTTCCCTCCCATCTATATCCCATCCCTGAGGCTTACACTTGCAGGTGAACCAGCAGCCTATCCAGTGGCACCTCACTCTTAACCAATTGGCCCATAGCAGGGCTGCTCAAGGTCACACTTTCCAGTAACCCAAGGGCCAGGGGTGGCACAGAGGCATCCATCAGGTTCATGTTCACATAGGACACGACCTGTAAGAGGGGTAGAGGTGATCGCCACCTCGCCACCACAGAAGGCCAGATCCTGGCATGACCTCACTGCCCCCACCTGCTGTCCTGGGAAAAGTCCACCTACCTTCTTCACAAAGGGGATGCCGAGTGTCTCCCAGGACACCACGCCGTGTTCCATGAACTCCAAGAAGGCCCTCAGCCCAAGAGCCAGCACCTCACCTAGGCTAAAGGAGACCCCTGGAGCTGAGCAGAACCAGACCAAATTCTACAAGCCCTACCACGTTCCCCCACCCCATCATAACCCTGTGCTCACTCATCCCCATCCTCAATAATGGTGCCCAGTCTCTGAAGCCCATCACGGCTGATGACCTCCTGGGCAAAGGTCATGTCTGAGGCCAGCAGGACGAGGTGTCTTAGAGCTTCTTGGCGCCGTTCACGTCTGGAATTCTGCAGTTCCCCCAACAGTTGCTCAGCCTTCAGATCCTGGCAGGGGCAGGGGCAGAATAAAAATGGATGAGGCTGGACATGAGGTTAGGACATGAATTGAAAGTGTACAGATACTGGTGGCCACTAGGTGGAGCACTGCTGGAGAGGGTTTCCAGATCTGGGGCTGAGGCCTTCGGGCAGAAAAGAGGCAAAGGGGCCGGGCAGAGGGGATGGGGATGGGGCCAGGAGGGACATTACTGGGGCAGTGCTGAGACATAGGATGCTGCCATTCTTGATCTCCGCCCGATTCTGGAGGAAAATAGAAAGAGGAGCAAAGTCAAGGAGGACTCAAGGTCAATTGAATCCTCAGTGAGGGAGGATTTAGGGGTCAGTTAAAAGAAAGCTCTTAGATATGGGGAATGAGTCTGTTCTATCAGAGCCAGGTGGATTATTAGAAGGGTCATAGGGTGAAGGCTGGGGGCTGGGGACTCACATTCTCGGTGATGTATCTCCTGTGCCCATCAGCAAACTGCAGGGCAAAGCGTTCGGAGTGAGTCAGGTTCCACCTGCGAGGCACACAGCTCAGCGAGGCAGGTAGGGGCCCCTCTTCTCGCCCGCCCCTCCCCCACCCCGCTGGCCGTCACTCACGCGTCGCACAGCTCCTTCAGCACAGTGGCCAGGGGCTTTGCCTACAGTAAGTGGGAGCTGTCACTCAGGAGCTGGGAATGGGTGGAAACGGGGGTGGGAGGGGAAGGATCTGGGGAAAAGGTGGGGTGCCTGTCCCAAGGGAAGGGGATCAACCAGCGGTGGGCAACAGGGCAGGTGGAGGCCGGGCAGGCCAGTGACCTGGTCCAGCTGGATGAGCTGCGGGATGGCGTCACGCATCTGGACAGCAATCTTCACCACGTTCCGCGGAGGAGCCATAGTCCAGCCGACGGTGGGCGCCTGCACCTTCCCGACTGTGCCGCTCCCGCCGAGCGCGTACCTGGCCTGGAGCCCTTTGGGTGCTAGAAGGGTGGCCCTTCGCCCACGATCCGGCCCCGGTGGGCTGCACTCCTAGCCCAGGTTCCCACTCCCTGCCAGGCACCAAGGCCTTCCCAAGGGAACCTCGGCTAGTTCCGGGTTGG